TTTGGGGAAGTCCTTCCCCATATTTTTGTTTTTTTTTTTTTTGGGCCCCCCCCCCCCCAAAAAAAAAAATGTAGATCTAAAACTGAATACAGAAAATCATTTACGGAGATTGCTTAATTATTAATCCGACTGTGTGTAATTGTTCTGTGAAGGCCTCAGAGGTTTCTTAGGTGTTTCCACATCTGATAGTCCGATAGCTGCAGTTCGATTGGTGACCAAAGTTGCAACATTTGTTACGTTTTCAGCTGGTGCGGTTCGCTTTCACACCAAACTCTTTGAAAAACCTGTTCACCTCCCTCACCTGCAGTGGCACCGCATCGAGAACTACTGAAGAAAACAACACAAGAACCTCAGAAGAAGAGCACAATTTCCTTCTTCATGAAATCTAAGCAAAAATAGAGAAGCGTGAGATGTCAATGGTAGGATTTCTCATGAGACGCTGGTAGAAGACCACAAACCATTTCTCTTCTTAGAGCTAAGACTCATGTTTGTTTTGGTTGTTTTTACCCAGAATGCCCTTTGCTATAGTCCACTTCCTGTTTCTGGAGTGGTCTTCACCCGCTTGGCATTCAAACATGCATTCGTACAGCGACTGAGTTCACTTTAATCACACTGAGACCTAGGTTTGTAGTCAGACCAGAGGTTTTTTTTTTTTTTTTCTTTTTTGGGTCCAAATTAGAGTTTAATTGCGCATTAACACATCCCCAAACAAAAAAGATTTTCTAGGCAATCAACCTAGAACTAAACAGGACTGGTGTGAATGCACCCTTACAGAACTCTGGTGGACAAACGGCATCATTAGAACCAAAAAAACACACCAGATCAATTTTCAAACGAAAATCTTAAAGATTATCCTGACATCCCATCTTCCAAAAATTGAAAAAGCATGGTACCACTGCAAATCTACTTACCAAACCTGATATTATTAGCAAGGCACAGTAATCTTACCCTATGATCCAACAGTGAAGATCAAAAGTAGGGGAATCAGGTCTTCATCAGTCCTTTATCACTTACTGCCCTGCAACCTTTTAGCCATCTTAGAGGATCTAATCATTCCTATGTCCATTCTTTCTTTTGTGAATGATATTCTTTTCTATCAACCTGCCTGGCTTCTTACACTTTGTCCATCAAGCCCCCTGGAGACTGTGGTTCTCGGAAAATATCTGCACCCTTTTATGGAGCCATGCCAAATGTTTGCTTTGGAACCTGTGCATAAGTACACACACACACACACACACACACACACACACAAGCTCATGCAGATAATAAGCACCATTTACTGACTACAAACCTCTATCCTTGCAGGCCTGAAAGCCGCGTCGTTTGTTTTCAAATACAACAGGGCACTGCCTGG